CCCAACATACCATACAAATTGCTCTTATCATAGGGTATACTTTTACTAGTGTAGCTAGTGGTCACCAGTGTTTTTAACTCAGTCATTGTACATTATTCCTTTTATTTATGATTTGAATTGCACTAGTGCCTAGGATCTCAAGTTAGGAAGAACTGCCCTAAAGAATTTACCATTTAAAGTCCAAAGAAAGGCTGTATTTAAAAGAATGGAGGACACTGTAGTACTGCAAGTGCAGAATACCAGCACTGTACATTCAAAATGCAAGGATGTAGTGACCCTGTAACTCAAGTGCAAATATGGTCCCAATTCGTGGTATAGCCTGAAACTTAATCCTTTTTCATACCCAGACTAACGTTCAAGGGAACACCAGTGCTTCAGCTTGAGTTCAAAACAGTGTTAAGGTCCAAATTAAAGCTAGGGGGCAGATCTTCCACTGATTTCAGCTGAATTATGATAGTTAATGCAAGACCAGGATTTGTAACCACCTGTTAGTGTATTCTGTAATCTTGTCTTTGTGTTAAAAACAGGTCTTTTGGAAAACAGAGATTTATTTATAATTGGCTAGATTTGCAAGCTTGCTTTTGTTATATTATTTCCTGCCCAGGATTTCTCAATGCTGCCTAGAAATGTTTATGAAAATATCTTTCCATATTTCACATCCCCTAGGGGAGCACATGCAAATGCACACTCAGGTCCAACTCATTGTCAGACCTTCAGTCTGATCGCTATAAGCAAGCTGCTTGTTCTGTTAGCTTCATGGCCTTCTTTTCTCATGCACTGTCTTGTAAAAAAAATTATGCGTGTGTCTAAATGTCAGAAGTATCCCAGTTGTCTGTTCCATTGGCTCACTTGCTGTCAGTTCAGTAAAGTGGGGTGATGGGAAGGAATCAAACTCAACACAAAATGTGGGACTTCAGCCTAAAATGTAATATGGAATCTTTACCTCTGAGCTGAACCATTGCATGCCAGAGAAAAAAACAGTCCGAGCCAACTAAGGATTAGTTGGAATTACTCTGGCTTTTTGATAAAGTCTTTTTTTTCCTTCACTAAGCCCATAAGAAAAATAAAAAGTCAGCTTACTTCAGGGTGTACACTATTAGTGGGTGATACTGAAGAACTGAATGTGTCTAACATCTACTATGCAAATTATGGCCTTTTAAATGGTGATCTAACTTGCGCATTCCCCAACTTGGTACAGCATGCAAGGTGACTTATTCTATGTGGTGTCTGAGATGTTTTCAGGAATTGACAAAATATATCCAAAACAAATAGTATGAGAAACTGTAATGCAATGAATACCATGGAAATGCCTATTGAAAAAAAAAAGTAAGAGCCTGATCCAAACCCCATCGAAGTGATGAGTTTGAATCAAATTCATTGAATTCCGTGGATGTTGGTTCAGACTATCAGTGAATGGAATGATTGCTGCTACTGATATTTCATGTTCTAGCATATTGCAGAGCATGGGTTGTCCCCAGCATACATAAGGGTTCAGATACTCTAAGAATTCCAACTCTAAGAAATTCCAAAGATTTCATCTCTCTCAACCCCAATATGATCCTGAAATCTGAGATGGTCAGCACTAGGCTTGATTGAGAAATAGAATTTCTTTCCCACAGGAAATTCCTATATTTCAGCATTTGTTCTTGTCCCAAATTATGATGGAAGAAAGACCTTCCAAAACCTGTTCACTGAGTGAAATGTGTTCTCATCCCCCACCAACTCTCCCCCCCCCAATAAAAAATGTCAATATTTTGTTTCAGGTTGGGTCAACATTCATCTCTCTGCCTGAGCTGCCACAGTGCCTCACTGAGAGCTGTAGATCATCAATGAGAGCTTCACTTCACCATTACCCCAGTGGACCAAACTTCTTGGTCTCTGGACTATATCTCCCTTGACATGTATTTGGTGGGAAATTCTTGGCAGATCTATCTCCACAGAAGCCCTGTCCCTCAGCCATAACAGGACTGTTTCTGTGGAAGTAGCATACCTGTGCGCTTTGCTTATGGCCACTGCACCAGACCTCTTCTCTGTGCGTGGTTCACATCATGGAGCTGAATAATAAAAGAGATAACGCTAAGTAAGCACTACATTCCCGGTCAGTTCCCTGTGAGTACTGTGCCATGTACAGGAGCAATATCCATCTTCTTTCTGACCCCAATTCTCACAGAACAACTTAGGGAGATGAAAATAATGTTGCAGTGGCAGGCCATCGCTCAAACTCTGTCAGATGTAGACCCTCCCTCTTAGTGGAGGGAGAATGATTATCCTCATAGAGGAACTGTCTCATCCTCCCTTGCTTATCAGGAACACAATACAGTGAAATCTGTCTCAGATGGAACCTGTAAAAGTTGGAAATCTGCTCAGGCTAGAAAAATGTCTACACTTCTGGCCTGCCTTGTGGGAAAATATGTACATTAATCTGTATAAGCTGGAAACTAATGTGGAAATGAGTGGTGAAGGCCAATTTGTAGAATCACTCTCTAATCACGGAAAGCAGTTGCCCTGTATGTGTGTCTGAATGAGCACCAAGCAGAGCAGAGGGGCTAAACAGCCGAGACCACTGAGCAGAGGGGCTATGAAACTTCCTCTAGAAAATGGAAAACAGTTAAAGCCAATTTTTTCCTGGTTCTGTTGATTCTGTCTTAGACAGGTTTCACTGTATTATTTTTAGGCTGACTTCCACATATATACAAGTAAAGACCCAACTTGTAATCTAAAATACCTAGGCTTTTGCATGGTTATCTCCTGTACAAGTAGTAACCTGGCCTGACATTGCTCAATTTATAAATAAGATACAATGAGACTTCATCTCAAAACAATATGACTGTTGGTGAGTCACAAAAATTATGAAGGCTCATGCTGGTAAACAATGGTGTTGAAATGGAATGGATAACACTTCAATTTTATGTGAGGCACCTTTCATCCCCAAGGAATTCACATGTGCTTTCCAATATGAGGTGTCATTAGGCACATTTTGATTTGGATTTCATTCTGAAATAGGAGTCTTAGGATATACTAAGGGGAAATGTCAGTAGTTCTTTTGACAATGGGATTCTTTTGCCTGGCATGTATATGTTGGCTATAATTCAGGTTTAAATAAAGTTATCTGAATCTCTGATATTGTGTCTATATTGTTTTGTGACATTCAAGTTCTCTATATAGGACTGACTTACCTCAGAATACTCAGGAAAATTAAGGTAAATCAACTTAAGATATGAGCATGAGCTGAAGCGTATCAAATCTCCACAGGAATGTTCTCATTTAGGATTTGAGGAGCATTCATAATCTGTGTTCAGATGCTTTAAATGGGTAGTTGAAACCAAGTGAGTCCTAACTTTTAAACTCTCTAGTTTAACCTTCATCTGACATGATTTTGTAGGCTAAATGGTCTCTTTTTTTCTTGTCAGTTTTTGTACATACTAAACATTTTGAACCATATACACATTAAGTCTATGGCTCTCATGAAATGATAACAGGTCACTATGGCTAATACACAAATACATTAGATCAGGCTCAATTTAGACATGATCAAAGTGGATAAAGTGAAAGACACTTTATCTGCTTCAATCACAACTGAATTTATCCAATTGTTTTTAACCTACAAAATGAAAAGTTATGAAAAATGTTATCCCCTGAAGGTATTATTATATGAACATAATATTTTATTACTTCTGAAGAATTCTTCAGTAAAAAGAAAAATTAAACTGCCAAATATTTAATATTAAATTATCCTTATGATAATAAGGCTATAAAGGGAGAGACTGCAAAAATATGGTCACAATCTTGCACCAGCATAATTTCGCAGTAGTGCCCACAAACAAGGATATATACAAGTAAGTCAGGAAGACATGTCTCATAACCCATTTACACAAACAGTTGTCCATTTTGCACATGTAGGTTTTTTTATGAGCCCAGCTGATACTTATTTGTGTTTACAGCTGCACCTGTTATAATCACTACCTAGAATTTGGCACTCCACTGTTTAACTTACGCTCACAGAAGCATGAAAATTCTGAGTTAAAAAGTTAACACTGTATTCAAAATTCACCCTGTTTATGTGTCTTATATATTTGGCCTACAGTCCCTATCAGAAATCTATATAAGGATTTTTATAACAAACCTTTTCCACTACTTGCTTTGCAAGCCAGCATGCTAGAAAGCCTTTTAGCTTTTACTTAGCATGTGAAATATATAATTCTGAATGGATGTGTTCAATTTCTTGGATTTCCATCAGTGTTGAGTGAAATCTATAATTTGAGGCCATGGATCAGTCCAGATGGAAAGGTCAGTTTCACAACTGGCTTAAATAACTATAAATCCCATTGAGTTCATTAAGCCCTGTACATTTCTTAAGAGTTTCAGTATGAATTTAGGTGCCTACTTTATTTACTCAGGTTTAAAAAATTTTGATCCAAATGATTTGCCCAAATACACGCAGAATTGGGAGTAGGATGCCTAACCCCTCGACCTTTCCTTAAACCAGTGTTTCACCTCCATTATCAGAACCTTAATGTTATTTAAACACAGCCTTTGATTGTGTGAAATGGGATTATTGTCAAATAGCATTAAAACCATGTGTATTTTTTCCCCAAATGCATAGGAAGTAAGACTTTACTGGAACCCCAGAGAGTTTCTTAGTTATCAATACTGCTCTTTATTGTATGTGTGCATCTCTGTAACTCTACGATGTAAATTTCTCTCTGAAAATTTTAAAAGATGACTCTGATAATACTCTTACCAGGAAGCATTTACAAAACCAAATATGCTTTCCTCTCCATATGAACTGCAAAAGCCATTTAGTAGACGCTTGTTTGCTCTATAGCTCATGAGTTTGAGTTTATACTGCCAGCCAGATTCATTTAGGGTCTTTCATTGCTAACACACGTTATAGCCCCCTGGAGATAATGTGAGAGAAATCTGGCAGTAATTAGTTGCAGGGATGGATCCAGCAGTCAGTAGGTGCTCAAGCTGAACTGCACATCTTTCTTTCTTGTCAGATTGTTGGCTGTGATCACCAGTTGGGAAGCACTGTCAAGGAAGATAACTGTGGGGTCTGCAATGGTGATGGGTCCACCTGCCGGCTGGTTCGAGGCCAATATAAATCTCAACTCTCAGCAAATAAATGTAAGCTATTGACTTTCACCTCAAAGGGGTACAACAAGCATTGCTAACTGGAAGGGATGATGTTAATGTGTCAGAGGACCAAGTAGGCAGGGAAAGCATCATTTTACTCCCCTTACAGAAAAATTCACAATCATCTGGAAGAACAGACAGACTCTGGTCTTTGTTTAGCCATATGGGGGAGTAAGGCAAACTAAAGCCACCTCTCCTCACTATCTTGGTTGGCTGAGTTAGAGCTATTCATACTGTGCCTCTGGCCCCAAATGAGAAGAGAGTGGAAGAGCAAGGAGCTGTTGCCCAGCACTCCCCCTCTCAAATCAGTGGGTAAGGAATAGGAGGAAACTTGCCCCTACCCACTCCATTTGCTAGGCAGCTTACATGGGAAGGCACCTAGTCTGGAAGATACAGCATCCTTAGAAGGGGTAAACTAACTTCCTCCTAAGCAGAGCAAAGGGAATGTGGGGAAGGAATGATGATGTCTTTCTGAGATATAGTTCTACCTCAGAGCTTTCTGTGGAAAGATATAGCTATATAGTGTGGCTTATACTGCAGACTAGGTATAGTACCTCAGAGTTCACTCCTATGGGAGCATATTTGTCCTACTGTGCACCTGCTTTTCTCTTCCACTACTTTGTCCACTGAATAAACCAAGTCTGCATTTTTAGAATTCTTTTTATTTAGGATTTTAGCATCTTTAGAATTGTTGCGGGGTGGGGGTTAAATGCTGTATGGTACATGACCTTAAAGTTTCAAGTAACGCTGTAATTTCTACTGGGAGGTTGTATATGTGTGTGTACATTTGTAGATTTCTGTTGGATATCAGAGGAAAGGCAGCAAAAAGGCACAGCAGCCCCCTTGGCTCTACCAGGAACCAGCAGACCTCCTGCATCTAAAAAGAAAGACCTACAAGGAGGAATATTCTGCACTGGTCTGGACCTGCAGGGAGAAAACCAGGAAAGCCAAGGCTGTGACTGAACTCCAACTAGCTACAAGTATCAAGGACAATTAAAAGTCCTTTTTTAGATATGTGGGGAGCCAGAGGAAAAGCAAGGGCAATATTAGACCCCTGCTAAGCCAGATGGGACAACTGACAACCGATGCCCAAGAAAAAGCCAACTTGCTACATGGGTACTTTGTGTTGGTTTTTCACCAGTCCCATTACAGGATGGGAATGCCTGGGTGAAGGTATTTCCTTACCGTCCATCAATGCTGACCCGGTGAAGGAACACCTTGAGAGGCTGGACACCTTCAAGTCAGCTGACCCTGACAGTTTACACCTGAGGGTACTCAAGTTGCTGGCAAGCATCATAGCTCAGCCCCTGTCATGGATCTTCGAGAACTCCTGGCACC